GTTAGCCACTTCAATATTCAAAACATGATATAAGCGAAAGAATTTTCCCACACGAAACTGAAACTGAGAAAGGATTGTTTTCCTGTGAAGTACAACAAATGGACTCTGTTATGGTAACATAATCGTCCAGTGTAAGGAATTTGGCTTCATCGAAGTATCTAGTGTAATCCCAACAAAGCCACCAATAAAATTTTCAGTGAATTGATTGAAAAAGCTTGTTGTTTAAAAGATGTTTCCAGACAAACGTTTTGTATCTTGTCTTGCCCAGTTTTCCAGTATTTAAAAGTTTTCCTTTTATCGGATTATAAAACGCAGTTTGACAACAGTGCTTTTATTCCTAATGGGCTTCATTGGAATAATAAAATGACTGTTTTTTGAAATTGCTAAACTGAATGATTTTAACCGTTGTGGCTGCATTCTGCACGTTCTCCTCCTCGCAAGGATTAAGATTTGTCAAAACTATCTGTTGACACCTTTGATTTCTGTGGTTGTCGGCAAGGTGATGATAAACGCGATTGACCTGCCGTCTTGTGATGTCGTTTCCTCCTTTCCATGAAATGGAATTTTCAAAATACACTAATTTGAAACTGAATATCACTTCCGGTTATTCATTGTTGCTCTTCCCTAACATGTGGTTTTCATCCTTACAGTTTAAAAAATTCATAGTATTTTTATTTTGTAAAGCCAAAGATTGTTATTATCTAATTGAACAGTTTAATGTATTTAGATGGAAGTGATTAACTGTATAAAATGTATTATTTTCATATTTAATGTTTACTTTGAATAGATTAAATCATTACAATATGTAAATAATCTCTGAAATATTTTGTGAATAATGGAATGTTGTAGCTGTAATTTATAGAGAAATGACCTGAAACTAATTTAAGTGTATTGTACTCTCTGTTGTTTTTCTTCGTTGGCATCGTTTTTATGATTTCCAATAACCATCACTTGTTAATCGCTGACAGCAAATGAATCAATGCTCATTCACTTTAGTCGTGTCTACCCCATGTGCAGCGTTTGAGAGAATTCTCTGTTCCGGGTAATTTTTATCTTGACATTTGTCAAAAGTGGATCATAGAATTGGAATCTTTATGTTAAAATTAGTCTGTGACGAAAATTTCACGTTGTTTGGGCCGTCAGACAACGAATTAACCCATTTTCAAGATTTAGCTTTTATGGTTGCTTATTTGTGGTTTCTTGTGATCGTTAGGGGCAAGATTTGATTCGGGTCTATAATCTATATTATATATATTGTTCAGCGTATCAAAATTGGCCTTTTTTTGAAATTTTAGTGCTTGTATCACAATTTGCACAATTCTTCTGCTTATCTCCCTCACTAACATTAGTACACAGCTTTATCTTAGTACGAAAAAATTCTTTAAGTTTCGTAGAAACCCTGTGCTAAAGAACTATTTCTTGGAAACACAAAAAAGTAACATAGAACAGAACCCCAAACAATTCGCAAGGAGCTCTTCTTTCTATTAATATTTTATTAGCCCTATCAGTTGCGTATGTCCGTTAAGGTTACGGTAAACGTTTTCTTGATGAAAACATCATTTTTTCGATTTTTTCACATTCAAGTAGCCGAACTTTCAAGGCACACAATGATACCAAATTTGAAACAAACAGAAATTTTGAAAGTGGAAAAAATCCCATGTAACCGAAGGTTTCCATAATTTCTTTATCAAAACTTTTAGTTGAGGCCTGAAAATCTCTTGACCTGTTAAGCCGATAATCGTTGCTTTGCTATTGTGGTCGCATGTCTCATTTACAATATCGCATGGCACATCCATATATCCAATGTACGGCCGTGTTTATTTAAACAGGCTTATTGATCTTAAATCTTCAAGTGACTTGACCCGGACTACACTGTGGTTTACGAGTGTATCTTGCAAGTGCGATCAGTAAAATCCCGTTTTCTCCGGACTCGAAATTCCTCTACATGCAGGTACGAAAAAGCTATTATGTACCCAAGGAACCAATCGAATGGCTCGAAAATTTGCACACGGCCAGGGCAGACGTTGGGCAAACAAAGTGTGTCTCAAAATTTTTTTATTTTCTCTGGTCCGTCTTTTATACCCAAATACAGCTGCGGGAGGGTGGAAAAATTATTTGCCAATTTTTGACAGGGTATAGTTTCATAAAGAGGAGGAATTTAAAATATCTGAGACACACTTTGGTAGCTTAGGACCTGCACTTCCTGCTGGTCTAAGTCAGATTTTGTTACCTCAAACGCAAGGGTACATAATAGCTTTTGAAGGTGGTACACTTTTTGACAAGTAAATTCGCATGGAAAATAACATTTAACATTATTTGCCAATAATTGTTATCTGGCTAGATACGCCATAATCTTGTGCATCGAATGATATATAGTTTATCCAGATTTCTTGAGCCGTTTGGCCTTTAGGAAGGAAAAACCAATTTTCGTGTTCAAAACGTTTACCGTAACCTTAAACAAGAAATGGGTACTTGATCGTCTAAAAGAATCATTTTCATCCCATCTGCAATAGAATCATTTTCAAGGAGCTTATGATCCTCAGTTTTTTGTCATCCATATGTTTACATCAATGTAAGGCCTATGCCAATTTGAGATCATTATCGATGGAGACAGAGAGTCAAGAACTTTTTTAACATGAGTGTTCTGTGATACAGGCAATGTTATTTCATTTTTATATAACGGAACGTGTTACTGTAATGATATCGACCTCGCCCCAAATCAATTTTGATATACCATTTTCAAGATGCTTGATATGCGTCCATTTCAAGATGCGCTACATGCGGTCAACAATATTTTTCATGGCAAAGGCACCTTCGTTTTTTGCGCTCTTGTCTTTCACTGCAGTGTTGATCTGGATTTTTCTGCACAGTGTTAATGGACTCTGGAAGAAGGTTTCGTCAAGGGCAGAGGCACCTTTCAACAAAGGCATAATTCTTCTGAATCCCACGTACGTTTGAAAATGTTCGAAAGGAGACTTCAATTTACCGGACAGACAGCCTCCCGTCTTGGTTATGTTACATACCGAAACATTTGATATCCAATTTATAATGATTAAAAGCATATCTAGACACCTGTATTGCTTGATAAACCCAGATGTTGACACAAAGGTCTTGGGGTATTTCATTGTAGTTAACCACGTGCCCCTTCCTTTCGTGTTTCATTATACATCTGTCTCTTGTTACTTGAATAGAGGTGACATCGATAGTTTGATTCTGTTCGATACAGTTGCATAAGTTCACAATTTGCTAAGATGCTATCTTACTCAGGGCCGTCCCTACTCAGGGGGCACGAGGGGTGTGACACCTGGGGGGTGCTTAGTCGGCAATTTTTCAAAGTTATTGGCAAATAAAGGATGGTTCACCCACTTTATAGGGAATTAAGACCTGACAACCCCCCTTGAGTACAATAGCTAGTGACGGGCCTGATTCTTACTTCCAGGAACTCGCTTCCAATTACAATTAACAAAGGAAGTTACTATTCCTCTGAGAGTTTTCTTCTTTAACAGTGGCTCTTGTTTTAATAACATAACATCTTTCACTGAAGGTATGCTTGAAACAATTGCGGAAACTGATTCATTCGGATTCTGAAAGTAGGAACAAAACAACACTTAAACTTGTGCATTCACCGCCCCATCGAATTTGTAAGGCTTCCAAAACATTTATTGAAAGCTCAGAAAAATTGCTACCAACGAAGCTCGTTATTTGGAGATAAAATGGAATAGCAAAGTCAACAAAAACAGCAAAATAATTATATATCGATTTCGTTTGATAAGAGTAGCAAGTGACCTTTATTACTTTTATAGTAATCGCAGTAACCCCCGAGAGTATAAATTTGGCTGAGCTTCAGTAGGAGATTTCCCCAGAACAGTGCTACCCTCGAAACCGTTTTTCCATAAATGTATAAGTGTCGGACATCATCTATTTTTCTGCAAAACAAGTAAGCGCCCTGACCGAAATTAGCGCGGCTCGTTAAATTTTTAGAAGGTTTGTGCCCCGAATCGCAGCAATTTAATAACACATTTCACGAACGTTCGAGCAACAAATAATTTGGGGTTGCTTGCCAGTGTCTCCAAAATTTCGTAGCTGGTATGGTGGAAAGTTTGCAGACCCCTAGACCCCTAGACCCCCAGGTACAGCCACTTGATTGCCAAAGTCTTGGTTTCACTCTCCTTAGGCATTCATTCCCCTTTCTATTGTAGAAAGTTCCAGATATCATAAATTCTTTCGTGTGTTATCTCAATCGCCAAACTGTCAGACTTTTTTCTTTTTTCCGGATTACCTTTAGCAGCATGAAAATATTGTTGCTTCGCGTTTTCTTTCAATGAGGTGGAAATCATTGCCAGACATCTAGGGAGAGCTGGAAAGTCACGTGACAATTTGTAGATTGAATGGTGTACCTGAAATTCGAACTCGATTCAAAATATCAATAAACAATTGAGTTTTGCAATTCACTGATGAACCTTCAGAAAAGTTCCGAAAGTGCTTCACAAGGCTTTAGAAGTATCTTTTTTTCTGGAATAAACAAAAATGATATTTCATTTAAGAACGTTCCCTCTCAGCTTGGTATAACATTTGAAGAGGGTTGTGATTTCTATTATGCGCCCCCTAGCGGCCAAAAAATCTGCATTCGTTAGGTACAGTTATCAGAAGTTCATGATTTGTTTTCTGTAAATTTGGTGTATAAATGTTTTATAAGGAAACCTTAGTTTTTGTAGAGCCTATGTGTTTTGAAGATGTTCCATTTGGAGTCTAACTATGTTCTTAAATGACTCTTAATCAATGCCATAGGTGAATAATGCAAGGAAATCTTCTATGAATATTATTGAAGTTTGAAGTTATCTGGGAGTTCTGATACTTAGGGGTCGTTCCCCTCATCGTTGACAGCAAAGAGAGAAGACATTTTCTTTTTTTCTTTGCAGACCAAAAAGAAGCAGATTGTTCACTGCATATTTTGTATTTTATGATAAGAAGAAATTTCTGATCAACCGTTTCTTTTCTAGGACTCTCCTAACGAGCAGGTGATTGTTTGGGACGTCACAAGAACATTTCCAGCTCATGAAGCCTTCAAAGAGGTCGGCGGACAGGGACAGGAGTCACTAATGAGAATCTGCAAGGTTTGTTTCAAGACTCTCTCCCCCTTTTATTCAGAACCCAGGAAAAAATCTTTGAGGCGTTACTCGTCTAGGCAAAACATAAGGTGGTAGTACCCAGGGGATCAGTGGACATGCTAAAGCAAACGATAAAGTATGATATGACAACTGCATCACTTTATCGTGACTACATCGTTTGTTGTACTACTTTTCCTCTGAATACCTTAAATTTTGCTGAGCCTCAATACTCTTAAGTTTTAGAAATCCGTGATTCAGGGCCTAGGCCGGACACCAGGAGAAAAGTGGAGGGGGGGGGGCCAAGGGAGAATTAAAATAATCATGACAAAATAATTTTTAGAAAGCTCTATTGTTTTGCAAAAAAGTGGGGGGGCGTGTTTTGCAAAAAAGTAATAAACGTTTATGGTGAAATAAACAACCCCTCATTTGCATGTAGTTTCAAGTTCATAGTTTAGATTTAGCCATTAGCTTTTCGAAGGGAAATTAGCCGCGGGGGCAAGTTTTTGTTTTTATAGAGAGGGGACAATAACCTATTGTTTAAAATAATAGAAAGTCACTGACGCTCGAGGAGCAGTTGCCCCCTAGTTATTGTGTGAAGAAAAGCACTTTTCTCTAGCAACTCTCTGGCTTTCCTTTTAAAACTTTAGACAAAAAGAAATCTTTATGAATAACGGTTACTTTGTATTAATCTTACATTTTTTGCAATATATTACGTCACCAACGCAAAGCTGAGCTCTATGTCATCGTGCGCCTAGTCATGTTTAGCTGGCAGGGGTAGTCCTATTGATGACTGGCGCAGCACTTTGTTGAATCAGTGGTTTGACCTCAAAAGTAGTCACGATTTGTGTCATACTCACATGGCCTACCAGCATTTCCGCATAAAAGCCATTGAAGCCAACTTAACAATTGATAGAAGGTTTTCGGATTAAACAAATTCCTTTAGTATTCGCTTACGCAAAATCTTATTATGTTCTGTTAGCACACTGCCTTGTAGGCAAAATTTTTCCGTATCTTTTAAGATACATAGAATTTGCATGCATGAGCTCGTTGTAGTTTAGCCACAGATGGTGTTCTTGTTGGAGAGTAAACGATGGTAGAGTTTGTGGGAGTATACAACCCCCCCCCCAAACCCCCCCGGATATAATTAATATCCTGGAAAATTGTTTTAAGCAATCGAATCCTCTGACCTGGGTAAAAAAGAGAACACCGTTTAAGGCGCTTATCGCATTTCTAGCTATCTTTCTTACCTAGGTGCTCATTCAAGATGGGCGCTTAGAAGAAGTTCGGGTTTGTTTATTTTCTCGTAAGTTTGAAGCGAACAGAACCGAAAATTGAAAAATATTGTATGAGAAATGAAAATCAGGTTAAAGGAGACATGACAGCCTATGTACCTGGAAGCCGAAAACAAACTATAAATTTATGAAAAGGAAAGATATGTTTCAGCATTTCAAGTATTCTAAGTAGATTATTAGATTGAAATAGGTTAATTGGAAAATGAGATGCTGTGTAGGACAAGGGCGCTTAAAGAAGCAGGCGCTTATTAAGCCTTTTTAGTTTTAAACGGAGGATTATTTTAAGCGCTTAAATATGCTGATTGCTTATTCGAAATATTAATTTAGGCTACTTGAACTAGCAACTTGAGTTTGTATGGTTGTCCTTTCGGGTCAGCCAGTCAGATGGCAAGCTGTAACTGTATTACGTTGAAACAACGGAAGGGCAAAGATTATGGTAGAACCTTGATCCGGGAAATTTCATCATGAACTTCAAATTCGACTTCCTTTTTGATATGATGTTTATCATTTGGTCATTTCGATTCTACTTTTTTCGGGGGTATTGGTTTCATTTTTCGCAAAAAGAGGGCTTTTGCACAAATTATTTTGCAATGAGTTTGTAGTTTGCACTCTCTCCATTTCTAACCTTGGGCTGATTTCTCAACTGTTTTTCTAAAAGGGAACTGTCACTTTTCATGTCAAGATGTTGTTGTAATGTTTCCAGCTAAAGGCAATCTGTCACGACGTTGATTGATTATAAGAACAAAGGGATTTTTTATTGTTTCCAGTCCCCCTTTAATTTAATTTATCGCATTTTAAAAAATATGGCGGACCGCTGGAATCGCTGGAATTTATGCATCTTACGTCTTATGTTTGACCTCTGTGCTGCGTTAGAGCGTGTTTTTGAGATACTGAACCCATGTTAAAGAAAATGATTCTGGATTTTGCAATTTCCCTAAAATAGTGTCCTATTGCTTCGCAAATTTAATTGTAGAAATCTGCTGTTATTTCTGCTTTTTGCAAACCTATCTGTAAAAAAGACAAATCTAAGATAGTTGTTTTTGTAAAATTTTTCCTTTCCTAAACCTACCCCTCGAGACTTAATTACGTAAGAGTTATCTCCGATCTCCCCCTGTTGCTTCTTGTCTAACTTCATGTCCATTTTAACTAACCTTACTTATAAATATCCCGAGTATGGAAAGCACTTTCTTCTCTTGTTGCATTGGATTTTACAGACATTCTTTTCATAATTTCCAGGCCTATTCTGTTTACGACGAAGACATCGGATACTGCCAGGGAATGTCGTATCTTATTGCTGTTCTATTACTTCATGTAAGCCGAAATATCTTTTATGATATTTTTTATCTGGCGCCATCTTACTCTAATGTTAACTTATGTCGTAAGTGGCAAAGTTATCGTTGAAGTTGTGCTCTGCATGACAATTTTGTGTTTAGAGAAACGATACGATATCAAATATCAAGATTAAAATTATGACGCACTACATCACTATTAATCTTTGAATCTACATTGAATGAATGATACAAAGGATATATGTTGTTTTGTATGACGAGAAGTTTCAGGTGATTTTACTTCAGTTAAGGAATTTCACTTGATTTTCTGTTTTAGTTTGAGATTCTTTATCAAATTGTAAAGTCGCAGGTCGTCCCAGTTTGTGTTTTTAAATACCTTGCAAGGAGATAATAAGAGTAAAAAAGTAAATTACTAGAACCCAAAAATATTTTCCTTCCAGAACTTTTCAAAATGATGACTCTGTAAATATTTTGTATCCGACACACATAACATATAGGTTTTTTGGTTAAAAATACCAACTTTCATTTACCGATAGATAATATGTTTAGATAATGAAGATCCATTCTTAAAGGGAATTTTGGGTGGTAGTGTCTCTTTAAGGAACCATGATTAGTTGGACATTTCACGAACCAGTTAATTTCATTCAATGTAGTATTTTTTCAATATCACCTCTACTGTGTTGTGATTTTCGTAGCTATCCGTGATTTTCTATTTACAATTGACTGAAAGTCTGAATAATTCACCACTATCCTTTGACCTATTTTTTACAAATTTCTTCAGATGCCTGAAGAACAGGCTTTCTGTCTGCTTGTCAAAATCCTCAAAGATTATGGCCACAGAAAATTGTTCCAGGACAACTTTGAATTACTTCATCAGCGCTTCTACATCATGGAAAGACTCTTAGAGGTACGCTTCTAGCTTCATCAATTATTGTGCTCCCATTGCAATACTGTTAATGTGGAACAGTTAATCAATCGGTATTATTTAATGCTAAAACATTACGCCTCGAGCGGGTTAATCTAGTCGTAGCAAATTTCATACTGAATCGTCCTGAAAATGCTTTCTTAGGTGGTCTTTTAGTTGTAGTTGAAAACACTTGTGTAAAAAGCTATGACGATATCAGCCCATGCCCCAAAGGCAAACAAATAGAGTAGCCCTTAGGAAGGCCTGTAGAATGCTGCAAAATATTAGGCCATGTGTAGAATTCCATTTAGAACAGTTGACTCGTTATCCCATTGATCCTGAAACTCTGAGCTGCAACTTAGAACCGTCATGTATTCCTTGTTTTTGCTCAACGTCATCGCAAACATGTTATTGTTTGTCGAGCAGTCCTGACACTGTGGCCTTCTATTCTCTCCCATTGCATTACATCACTCCTATCTTTAAATGGAGCTGTCAAAGCTATGTTAAGAAAGTAATGGATGTGATCACGACTTTGATGAGAAACAGCTTCATTTATATGTATTATACTCTAGCTAGACCTAACATATTTGAATCGTCCTGAAATATATTTTACCTGTTCTAGGACTATTTACCGACTCTGCAAAGGCATTTCCAGTCAATAGGTATCGAAGCCCACATGTATGCCTCTCAGTGGCTCCTAACTTTGTTTACTTCCAAGTTCCCTCTACCTCTGGTGTTCTCTCTTATGGATATCATCTTATGTGAGGTAGGTTTATATTTTTACATAGCTTACCTTTAATGTCTATCAATACAGGTACAAGGTTTCAATTTTTCAAGCTAACTGGTCTTTTACATTCTTAGAAAAGATTATTTCAAGTTGAAACTTTTCTCGAAAGTCTCTTGAAAGTTTTTACAAAACCCAGTGCTAGTTTCCAATAGGGAAAATTATTTCTTTGGCTCTTCATTGTGCCTTGCAATATAAAACTATTACATTTTCAATCAAGTATGTTGATGGTATCGTTGATGCAATTTAATTTGACTTTCTTTGTTCAAGTTTTGAAATTTCCAATTTTTATCCTATCTCTAGTGTTCTAATTTCTGTTTACTTTAAAGCTGAATTTCAGTGTTAATTCTTTATTATAATTTCTTCAATTCTTCCTGACTTCTACAAGAGTTTTTTATCGTACTTTCAGGGCTGTGACATTTCGTATCAAATAGCATTGGCCTTGCTCAAGGTACAAACATTTTTGCTGTCAATATAAATGGAATTAGAGCCTTTATATTCATTCATTTGATGTTCTTATAGTCATTGCATTTTTATGAAACCGAGAAATCAAATTGCAATTAATGTTCTGCTTCCTGTTACACAAGGAATTCATCATACCGACATGACTGTACTTGAGGTGTAGTTATGGTCTAAATGCATGCATTAAAATTGAAATTTTTCGTTCAAATCTTTGAGCTTTTGTCAAATTAAACTTTTGGTTGAGCAGCACGTTGTTCGGTGCAACTGGCCGAACAAATACAGTTGTTTCATGCAAGAATAAGAAAAATTCGAAAACTAACAGGCTGCCTCTCCTTGGTAAAGTAACATGTATGTAAGAGCTTTTTCTTGATATAACAGAGAGAAATTTATAATTGTAGGAGATATTTACCTATTTACTTAGTTACCAACCCTAGAAAAACCGAGGAAAATAATTCAAACTACCATTTGCGTTTGGTATTATATTACTTATGCTTTTAATACCAGTTTTGCTATTTCTTAAACAAAGAATATTGAAGGAGATATCATAGATACTCATATTCCATCATTACTCTTTCAGGACTCGCAAAAGGATTTTGAACGGCTAGATTTTGAAGGAGCATTAAAACATTTTCGAGTCTACATGCCGAAGAAGTACATGGAAGAAGAACAATGTATGCAGTTTTTAAATGTCGTATTCAGCCTCAAGGTAGAACTCCTTTTATGTTTTCTTGTTGTTGTTAGAATTTTAAAATGGCTTTGAAAAATGCAACATTTTATAACATAGTGGCTAAAAGCTTTTTCGTCTGACACTCCTCAGAGCATAAAACGTCAGAATAAGGGTCCAAAAGAACACGATGGAGAATATATACCCAGTGTGGATCGTAATAGGCCAATCACATGTTTGTAATATAACCAAATTTATTTTTTCTTATTCGTCGTTTAAACAAAGCTCAACCATAGACTTCGTTCATCTTCCATAGCCCTTTCAGTCAGTTTCCCTTCCTTTTGAAGTATTTCCAGTTTTGTTGATATATCGCTAAATTTTGCATTTTCAACTTCACGATAAAACAGAATAGATATATCTGCTGTCATTGCAAATTTTGGTAGGTTTCAAAGAAAAGAATAATGAAGTATGAAAAAGAATATTTGCAAATTAAAGAAGAAATGGAACAGAAAGAAGATCCAGTGAAACGATTTAATGTAAGATTCACTATTTTTTAACAAATTTTTATGATCGTTAATAAACTACATTCTTTCCAAGTTTGTGCCATTTGCATTGTCGACAAATGCCCACGCTAGTGCCCATACAGTGAATGCAGTACACCTCGTTGACGTAAGCACAGACGGGCTACTGATATGTTAAAACTTTTTACTTCACTTTGAATCGGTGTACGCTGAACTCATTGATATAATTTCTAATGAATTGAAAGGGATTATCGCTTGAATAATCTTCTCCTGATCTTTATTCGGAGAAGAAAATCTTGTATTAGCATCTTACAGTAGCTTATTTACATGTGGATCACTAAATATCGCACGATGACAGACATGCAATTATTATGGTTCTGTTTGAATATGCTTTTAATTTCTATTTGAAGCGAGAGAAACGAGCACTGATGGAAGAAAACATGAGGCTTCATCAGGAAAATGATTCTTTGGCTCACGAGATAGTGGAAACGCAAGTTAGTATGCAGGAGAGAATCACAGAGGTAGGATCACAGCTTTAAACTTACAAACAAAATAAAAATTAGGCTGTGAACTACAGTTGCTATCTTCAGGGCATTTTTTAAAGCCCGCTGTTTTAATAGTTCCTTCGTTACAGTTTATCCAACTGTTTATTTGCTCTGGAAAATTTTTTTTGGCATTATTACTATCACTAGTTTCTTTGATCAGTGACTTTGTGGATTTTTATCAGAATTGTGTCACTGTATTTGAGTGTGGAAAACCTCTTAGATTCGTTATATAGTTTGGTTCTACAGAGCAAATATCTTGAAGGCTCCTTCCCACTTTTCTTTGTATAATTTATTTATCGCGTGTATCTTGAACTGGTGATGCGTGGCATTATTTTTCTCAATGCAGTGAAGTGTGGTCACTACAATGCAGCGAGCGTGAAATCCTCTCAGATCCCTATTTCAATATTCTTGTACGAAGTATGGGTGTCCCGATTTTAAATGCTATATACCTCAATTTGTTTTTTCTTTGTCTTGTGTTTGTAGTAAGTCCACTACTGGCTCAAGAATTTTTTTAGACGTTTTAGTCAAAGTTTTACCCCTCTTGTGTAACTTTGGTTATTTTGTTGCTAGATAGCGATTTTGTAAAGTTTTGCTTGACTTTTCCGGGCAGCAGATATGTTAAAATTCTATATGTGAAACGTGAACTTCAAGCATGTTCATCGTTCTTGAGTGATTGTTTAACGGGGGATAATTCCTTTATCATGCAATGAATGCAGTTACAAATAATTATTTTTCAACTATTGTGTTTGAATCAAATTCAGTAAGCAATATCTGCATTGACAGCTTGAAGACAAAGTCAACGGAATGCTGATTGAACGTGAGAGAACGACAAAGCATCTCCGGGAGTCTGAAGAAGAAGTAGAAAGACTGAAAACAGAGGAAATCAGGGTGTGTCATCAGCTAGTTTTGCTTGTGTTCATGCATAGCATTACCTATTACGAAGATATGTTATTAACTCAGTGCTTTCTGAAGGTTCCATCTTATTTGCAGTACTTTCTAAAAACACTCTATTGCCCCTTGCTACTCATCTTCCAATAATGTTCTGTTGCAGAAGCTTTCCTCGAACTTTTAATGATCAAGCACCTGAAACCTTCAGGAAACTTTCATGTTTTATTTGAATATGACGTCGCATAAGCAGATGATTGTTGCTTTATGTTGAGTTACTTCAATCGATCATTCCATATATTTTGTTTCAGTAGTTTGTTGTAAATACTTACTTCAATAGAGTTGAGAGCCAAGCAAATTTCTGTAGCCTGTAGAATGTGGGGATCAAAGCAAGAAACATTGCAACTAGATTTTAAGCTGCTTGAGAAAAGAATGTTTCTTAATTAAAAAGTTTTCTGCAGTGCATTAAATCTTTTCATCTCAGTGCGTTAATGAAATTTTGGTGCGTTAACTGTATTTTTATGAAGTAAAATTTCTGTAATATTGGAGGTGCCTTTTTGCTCTTAGCGAAAAATAATGTGGATTAGCAATACTAGTTTGAAATTTTTCTTTACATGAAGAGAAGGTATTTCTACAGTATTTATTCGACTGTGTCATCACTATGGCACAGAATGAAAAGAATTCGTTGCGTAGCGAACTTTTTTCTTGGCTAGCCTTGACTAGATTTTCGAGAAATGCAACTCGCTGTATTTCAACCGCTGTTGGCAACTATCGCCCTGACATCTAATGTTCTCATACTTTGAAGTTTGTTGCTAATAGCTTTATTGATAGCCGAGCTTGATACAAAATTTTAACACACACATAGGTGAAGGATATATGGAGGGAGAGTGCAAAGCGCGCAGATATTGAAAGAGAGAAACGCGATAGAATCATTGAAGATTATAAAAAGGTGAGTGATAAAAGATAGTGAATAGGAATTGTAATTTAATACTCAAATAAAGGCATTCATTTGAATCTTGTTGCTGGTAAAACTTCCCATTGTGGAAAAGGTGATTTCTTTAGTTTCTTCCGTATACTGTTGACTTTTTAAGTATTTTTGCCATTTGTAGAATATGTAGCCCTTGGAAAATGCTGATTTATAATATGGTTTGTCAAGATATGGGCTTTAACATTGCTATGAATCATACGTTCATTTCAGATATGTACAGATCTTGAAGACAGGAACGAGAAGTTCAAAGTGCGTTTGCAAAGCGATCTTTCTGAGATCAAGGTACGTGTGGATTTTTGTGACACATTCATTCTGCATCCAGCAACACTGGCACTGGGGTTTTTTCTTTTGTTTAATTTTAGCAAGTGTTGATTTGATTAAGACCTTGGAAAGAATATCAAAGCTAAGTTACGAATGTCAAAAATAATTCCATGCTTATAAAGCTGATGATACATGCTAGGTAATCTCACTGTTTCACTTTACTTTCATACTGAAAAGCTGTGCAGAAAACAGGCTCATATTAGGAATTTTACTTCTATGGCGCAAAATCTAAGAAGTAGAAACTCGCCAATGCGGCGTCAATAATATGTCCCACTTGCTGTGAGTGAAATATACTAGTAGAATTTCTGGTTCTTTTGCTTATCTATATCAGAAATTTATCAGTGATCCTACAATTTCTTAGTCCTACCTGAAAACGCAATTGGTTGTTTGCCAAATACATTGCTGCTTTAACGAATCAGATCAAGAACACTTCATCTGTGAGCTAATATCAGTAAGACTCCTTGGCTATCGTTGCCTAAACTCATGCTATTCTGTTTAGCGGCTGTTACTCATTTGGGCATTTGTTATTCTTAACCCTAAATCAATAGTTTTTAATTGCAGTTATAAATGACATTGGTTTTTATGTATACATATTTTACTAGTATAGTATACATATTATTATACATGTATACCGATTTTCAAATACGCGTTTAAAGAAGGTTTTTTCAGTTAAGAAAAATGCGATATTTTTAGAATAAAGTGAGAGAATGTCCAAATTGCTCAAAATACTTCGAAAGGCCAAATGCGTCACCAGCTGGAAATGAGCAAGAGGCAAAAGATGGCCTGCAGTCGACATTGGAGCTGTTACAAGATGACGACAAACAGAAAATAATTTCACTTGAAAACGAACTCATCTCAGCAAAGCTTAGTTTAGCTGAAGCCAGAGAGTACGCGGACCACTTAGAATTAAAACTGCACAGTGCCAACGCTGCAGCTTCCGAGAAATCATGGTTCAAGAAAATCACAAATCAGAACAGAAAGTAAAACTATTAATTATATGTGATTTCCTTGTTGATTGATTGTGTAAAATTTGATGTATAAAAAATTTATTAAGTTTTTCCTTATTTCTCAATGAATGTCGACCATTTGGATGGTTCTGCTGTAGTTGATCAGTTTTTCCGTACAATATTTTGCTTTGAGTAGCAGAACTTTTTTTTATTCCAACTTTGTAATATATATATTTCAACATTCATTGTTTATGTTGTTTAAGATTTTATTTTCGACCAGTTGCCACATTTAAACGTACAGCACTTGTAAAAGGAACGATGTTCATTGCAATGTTTTCATGTAGTTCGCAAATAGAAAACTTTGGAATATATACTAAAATTTTCAAACCCAACCATAATTTTGCCAGGCAAAAAGCCTGCTCTTACAGTCTCTTATGGTAAGGTTCTTTCTGGTCGATCCAAAACAATGTATTTATTTTTAGTTTTCTTTTAAACTTTGCCAATGTTTATGTATCCGATGAGGATGTTATTCGAGTGGATTCGTTTTATAATCGAGACTGGCTTGACTTGTCAAATAGCATATAATTAGAATCAAAATCCATTGTTTTTTTAGCGTGCAATCACTCGAAAGAGTCCATCGTATTATTTCAAATTAGGCTAAGTTGTGTCAGAACGTATTGCCATTGAATTTAATCAATAATCAGATGTTAGTTAAGTCGTCTCATTTTATCGAATTTGATTCAAACTGTATTTCTGTCTTGAACAAGATTTTGGGACTATGCATAAACGGCGTCGTTCAAAAATATGAAATTGTTGACCCCCCTCCCCCCCCCTTCGGTAATCATAATCTTCTTTACCTGGAACGCTCTTACACAAAAGATGGCTTTAAATCACCCATAGAAACCACGACAAGGGTTGAATGACGCCCGTTGAAGAGTGAAGATAGTTTTGTGGTAGAAAGGGGAGTTATTATAAATAGCAGTTTTCTTCAAAATAGCGAGGTTATAAGCTTGCAGAGATGGTCAATTAGAACAACATCTCAAACTGAAAGACATGGTTTTACTTACACTTCATGAATTTCCAAAAGGTTTGAATTATGTCTCGTTATTAGTAAATGTTTTGAGCTAAAAAATAGAATAATAAAAGTTCGGAATTTCCTTCCCAAATAAAAGAAATTAGGCTTGCATAAATGGGCAATTTTTAACGAAATGTCTTTAAAGTAAATTTGAAGTAAAACAAGTGTTCAAGTTCAAATTTTTCAGCCCTAAAAAGATTTGAACCATGTTCTGTTGGAATTTAGGGTGACAAAATTTGAAGATTCTCATTTAATAATTATGTTTTCAACCCTCAAAGGTTTGAATTATGTGTTGCATGCATTTAAGGTAGTATATATGATAAAAATTGGATTCATTTTTTATTTATATTTTTATGCGAAAAAGCAAAGCTATATGCATGCAAAGGTAAAGCTCCAAGTATGGGTAACAAAAAGAGAAAAGTGAAAAATATCGGCGTTTTTCAAAAAACTCTACACGTTTTAAGAACTCGTTTTAATGAAAGCATAACGTATTAAGACCTCCTTTCGTTTGCTTTGGAGTAGGCAAAAGAAGATAATTGTCCGAAAAAATTTGCTATCAAAAGCTGGCCATTTTGTAAGCATTTTTGACAAATTGAGTAGGAGTAGGAATTAAGAAGAACAAGCAGCTAATTGACCAAAGCATTCCAAAATCGAAGGGTGCTCATTTTGGTAACTCTATAGACTTGGTTTTTTGACGAAAAGGACATCGGAAAAAGGGCCTTGCTTTTTTAAAACAACTCCCTTTGGTGACAGAAAGTCTGATTGAGACCTTTTATACTTATCTTTACAGCAAAAAAAGCTTACTTACAAAATTCTTTCTAGTCTTTCTAGATCGAAGTTTCTGTTAGCCTAAAGTCTCGGTTTCTTTATGTAAAGGACAAAGTAAAAAGATCCAACTTATTTGTAAAATACCTCTCTTTGGTGAAAGTAGAATTGAGCTTAACCTCTTTAAAGTATCTTTCTCAAAGGTAAAAGTTAATTATCTTTAGAGAAGATCTTTGCAGTGGAAAGATCTTCATTTTTGAAGGCCCTGAGTGAAAAATATGGTGTTTTCCTTGATATTAAATCATAGAAATAACCCTAAATATGATTTAAATGTGTTTTGAAGCCGTTTTCCATGGTTCACAAATGTTTCAAAGGTAAACTTTGCAATAATTTTTAACAATTTTTCAATCCCTATAGCATTGCTTTTTGTCATTTTATTGGCAAAAAAGTATGATATTTTCTTAAAAAAAAGTCATAGAAAAAGCTATAGACATGTTTTAAATATGTTTTGATGCCGCTTCTTGGCTGAAGGGCTGCATAGAGGCTAAAAAACTTCCATTAACTTTTCGCAACTTCACTAGCCCAATAGCCAATTTTTCGTTAACAAAAAAAAAATTCCATGGACTAAAATCATAGAAATACTCTATATTATGATTTAAATTGGCTTTAAAGCTGTTTTTTATAAGCCGCAACTGATCAGAAGCTCGAAAATTTCCATCAATTTTTGACAATCTTTTTAAGCCTATAGCCTTGCTTTTGACAATTTTTTGGTAACAAAAAATATGGCATTTCCATTGAAGATAATCATAGAAACACTCTAAATTTTGATTTAAATTGGTTCTAAAGCTGTTTTTTATGTGCCGCAACTGATCAGAAGCTAGAAAATTTCCATCAATTTTTGACAATTTTTCTCAGCCTATAGCCTTGCTTTTTGACAATTTTTCGGTAACAAACAGTATGGCATTTCCATGGACTAAAATTATAAAAATACTCTAAATTTTGATTTAAATTGGCTTTAAAACTGTTTTTTATGTGCCGCAACTGAACAGAAGCTAGAAAATTTCCATCAATTTTTGACAATTTTTCTAGGCCTATAGCCTTGCTTTTTGACAATTTTTCAGTAACAATAAATATGGCATTTCCATTGACGAAAATCATAGAAACACTCTAAATTTTGATTTAAATTGGCTTTGAAGCTGTTTTTTATGTGCCGCAACTGATCAGAAGCTAGAAAATTTCCATCAATTTTTGACAATTTTTCTAAGCCTATAGCCTTGCTTTTTGACAATTTTTCGATAATAAAAAACATTGCATTTCCATTGACGAAAATCATAGAAACACTCTAAATTTTGATTTAAATTGGCTTTGAAGCTGTTTTTTATGTGCCGCAACTGATCAGAAGCTAGAAAATTTCCATCAATTTTTGACAATTTTTCTAAGCCTATAGCCTTGCTTTTTGACAATTTTTCGGTAATAAAAAAAAAATTCCATGGACTAAAATCATAGAAATACTCTATATTATGATTTAAATTGGCTTTAAAGCTGTTTTTTATAAGCCGCAACTGATCAGAAGCTCGAAAATTTCCATCAATTTTTGACAATCTTTTTAAGCCTATAGCCTTGCTTTTGACAATTTTTTGGTAACAAAAAATATGGCATTTCCATTGAAGATAATCATAGAAACACTCTAAATTTTGATTTAAATTGGTTCTAAAGCTGTTTTTTATGTGCCGCAACTGATCAGAAGCTAGAAAATTTCCATCAATTTTTGACAATTTTTCTCAGCCTATAGCCTTGCTTTTTGACAATTTTTCGGTAACAAAGAGTATGGCATTTCCATGGACTAAAATTATAAAAATACTCTAAATTTTGATTTAAATTGGCTTTAAAACTGTTTTTTATGTGCCGCAACTGATCAGAAGCTAGAAAATTTCCATCAATTTTTGACAATTTTTCTAAGCCTATAGCCTTGCTTTTTGACAATTTTTCAGTAACAAAAAATATGGCATTTCCATTGACGAAAATCATAGAAACACTCTAAATTTTGATTT